ACTTGAAATTTAACTTTTCTCATTTTCTCATTGACTACCTAGTGCACTACAAAGGGTTAATAAAGAGACTAAAGTTGCCATGGCAGCACAAATTAACATAAGGTTTATATAATTTTGAAAAAAAAACTAAATGGCAGGCATGGGGGGTAATGATTACACAAAGTAATTAATTACAAGGTCAATTACAATTACTTGTAATGTGTAATTGAAAAATAACCAATTACAATTACTTGTAATTGTAATTGAAATTTTTCCAATTACTTGTAATGTGTAATTGACAAATAACTAATTACAATTATTTGTAATTGTTATTGAAGTTTTGCCAATTACAATTACTTGTATTTGTAATTGAAATTTTCAATTACAATTACTTGTAATTACTTGTAATTGTAATTTAGGTATTACTAATTACAAATTACATATAATTATAAGGAACAAAATTCACAATTACAAGTAATTGTAATTGGAATTTCTTCAATTACAAGTAATTGTAATTGGCAAAAATTCAATTACAATTACATGTAATTGTAATTGGTAATGCTTCAATTACAATTACATGTAATTGTAATTGATAATGCTTCAATTACAATTACATGTAATTGTAATTGGTAATGCTTCAATTACAATTACTTCAAATGTAATTGTAATTGAAAATGTAGTCATTACCCCCCAAGCCTGCTAAATGGCTTAAATTAGTCATATTGACACATTCACAACTAAAGGGCATACATGTACATATCTCCTCCAACTGTAGCAGAAAAACCATGATTCTTGTTTGTACTATTGCATCAATAATGTGATGCAAATAGTTTTACACAATATTGTTCATGATGCAGTGTAAGAGGAATTTTTAAGTAAATATAATAAAAATCTCAACATAATACAACAGTATGTGTAAATTTTTAACTCTATATACATGTTTAAACTTTCACATACAAAATACAGAGAATGAAAATATAAATAAATATATAACTACACTTGAATTGTATTCAACTGTAATGTTTGAAGGAGCATTTCAAAGATATCTAAATATCTATGTATGAACAGAGTTTTATATAGAAGCGGAAGTCTGTAAATTATTTTAAATATGAACAAGAACAATGTTTAGTTACAATACAATTTTAAATTAAAAACAAGTAAGAGTGTTATATTCGGCTATACCGTATCTTATATACCCACCATCAAATTGGTATACTGGAGTTGTTTTACAAGTTATGAGCGTTAAAGTCATTTGCTGATGAGGGCCTTATATGGAGGGTAGGGTCAATTATGGTGCGATTCTTATAAAATTAAGCGGGGATATTTAAGATCCCATAATAACTTGTTAATGTAAAATTTCGTTTTTATACTGGCATTTTGAACGGAGTTATGAGCGTTGTAGTCATTTTCTGAAGGGGACCTTAATGGGGGGATAGGGTCAATTAGTGACCAATCCTCATAAAGTTAGACAGACTGATTTAGCTTTCCATTAGTCTTGTTCATGTCGAATTTAATGGCTATAATGGTTTTTTTTAGTCGAGTTTTGGACGTTAAAGTGATATTCTGATGGAATCTTTATATGGGGGCGATAGGGTCAATAATCGATTGATCCTCATAAAATTTTACAGAAATATTTTGGTTCCCATAAAACTTGCTTATGTCGAATTTTTTTTGCTATACGAGCTTTTCTAAGCCAGTTATCTGCGTTTTAGTCATTTTCTTATATGAGGGCTAGGTCAAATCGTGGACCGATACCAAAGAGTGCCTAACAATGAAAAGTATTTGTGCAAAATTTCAGCTCTCTAGCTTCTTTTGTTTAGGCGCTATCGTGTCTACAACAGATAGACGGACGGACAGACGGACGGGCATGGCTAGATCGTCTTAAAATTTAATAAGGATCCAGAATATATATACTTTTGTGGTTCTACAACCAATATTTCAAAGTGTTACAAACGGAATGATAAAATCAATATACCGCCCATCTTTTTAGATGGTGGGTATAACAATAATTACTTTAAAATATTTTAAGAGCAACTTATAATCTGGATTTTGGATCATTCTTTAGAACAGTCTAAGGTCTGGGTTATTAACCAATCTATATTCTCATCTATAGATTGTAGTCTCGTGTATATATTATGCCCTAATCTCAACTTTAAAACAGATTTTAGTCTATACTATAAATCAGTCTATAACCTGAAGTACATATAAGTCTATAGTCTCAAATATAGATCAGTATAGAACGGGCTATAGATTAGTCGAAGCTTTTGACTACAGATAAACATATTATCTGGACATAAGATCGGTTTACAGTCTGCACAACGGAACACTCTATAGTCTGTACTGTAGTTCAGTACAAAGTCAGGAATATTGATTAGTCCAGAGTCCCCTCTATAAATCAATCTATATTCTGAAATATAGATTAGTCTTTAAACTGGACCATAGATCACTCTTTTATTTGTATTGTAGATTACTCTATATTATGTATTATGGTTCACTTAATAATCTGTATATCTATTGTCGGCACTATATAGCAGTATATTGTTTTGACTATCTGTACTAAGGATTGGTCTTTAGCATTATCTATAGATCAGTCTAAATTAAACTACAGATGATAGTCTATAGTAGATCACTCTGATAGGATGACTGATCAGTCACTACTATAGATCACTCAATAATTTGTAGATTAGTCTATAGCCTAGAATAAAGATCACTGTAGATCATTGATCTATATAACAGATCAGTTACTATAATCTGCAATATAGATCAATCTATAATCTGTATTAAAGATCACTCAATATTCTGTAGTGTAGATCATTCTATTGTCGGTACCTTATATTAGTATATAGTCTGTATAATCGATCAGTCCGAACTATAAATCAGTCTATTATCTGGACTAAGGATCGATCTATAGCCTCATCTATAGATCTGTATCATACAGACAGTCTAGTTTTAATTATAGATTAGTTTATAGTCTCGAATACATATCACTGTAGATCAGGGTGACAGTTTAGTCTGCTAAATGGAGTGTACATAGATCAGGGTTTAATCTGATCTGTATTTCTAGATTAAAGATTATTTTATTTGTTTATTTATTTATTAATTTCGATTATAGATCACTGTAGGATAACGGATCATATAATCTGTATTGCGGATCAGTCTATTGTGGGGTCTATATACTAGTCTATAGACTGGACTATATATCAGGGTTTAGTCCGGGCTAAAAATCAGTCTATAATATGGACTAAAGTTCGATCTATAACCTTATCTATAAATCAGTTTAGTTTACGCTACCGATCAATCCAGTTAAGACTATAGATCAATCTATAGTATTGAATACAGATCAGTATACATAGATCAGTATTTAGTCTGTTCTAAAATTCTAGTCAATATAAAAGTTTACAGGCAGGTATTTAGTTCAATCCATAATCTGTTCTATAGATAAATCTTTATAGATCAGTCTATATACTGGATAATATAGTATCCCCTGCAGATAATTCTACAGTCCCGACAAAGAATCGATTAGTTTATTGTCTGAACTTTTTTTTATGTTTTTATTTTCTGGACTGTAGATCACTCAATGTCTTGACTATAGATCATATAATATTCGGAAGTATAGATTAGTATATGGACTCTGGACAGGACTGTAGATCAACCCATGTTCTCTACTGCATATCAGACCATATACTGGATTTTAAATTAGTGTTAAGTAACAATTTAAGATCTTCCAAAAATGTCTCTTAAACAGAGAATTTTTATTCTGGACTATATATGGGTTTGTGAATATTGATTGAAATATATTTAATTTTTTAACCTCCCTTCTATTTTAATATATATCTGCGTCTGTGCATCAGAGCATACACTTGTTTCCAAATACATATATGTATTAACTATCTACTATAACCATGTATGACTGAGTTTTTAAGTGTTTGTTTTACTATTTTCATAGATTTTATATTTTCAATCACTGGAGGTAATTTTAATATCCATTCAATATGCTATCGAATACAAATACATTTATAGCTTTCACTCACACACTTTCAAATAAAGTTTAGTTTTTCCGCAATACATCTCTCACTCTCTCTCTCCTTTGCTAACCCCTTTTTCCTCTCTTCGTTTTCCTATTACTCTAACAGTAACTGTTATATTCTCTAATGATAGTTTTGTGGCATTTTGTATTATGTGAAATATTGCTGTAGTAAAACCATTGTTGCTGTCATTTGAGGATTTACCGACTTTTTGCATAAGTGATTTTATTGGCATTTTGAGTTTGAATTGAGTTTGTTGCCGTCATCTACATATAGAAATATGTAGCAAACGAACGTACATACACATCTACTAAACAGATACACTTTGATATTTATTTATATTTGTATTTGTTTATAATAAAAATAGTTTTTTTTTGTTGCTGTTGTTATTATATTTTTACACAACTGCTATTTTGCATTTTAGTTTTTATATTTATTTATATATTTTTATTATTTTTTTTTATTATTGATTGGTGGTTACACAGTGAGTACTTTAACTTGTCCAAGTTTAATAATGGATTTTTCTAGTACTTTGAAAACAAAATTGTTTATATGTATAAGTTTACATTTTATACAGGAACTTACATGAAAATAAAATATTTATATTTATTTTTATGCCAAGTTATTGACCTCTTGTTAATGTTACAGCAACATCACTTAAGTGTTTTTAGTTATTTGACCAATAGGGAAACAAACTAATAGAAAAGTTTTCAAATTTTCGTAAATTATTATATAAGTTTATTTAAAGTTTCATTAAGGAAGTTTTAAGCAAAAACTTAATAGAATTAAAAATAAAATAATGCAAATAACAAAGGTCATAATTTTGATTATAACTTTGTATGCATCACATTTTACTATTTTGAAAAATTTTTTTGAAAAAATATTAAAACATTTTTGAAATAAAATCAATTTTTATTTCATATAAACACAATTTTATCTACAGTTTAAAAGTTTTTCAATTTAATAATTATTTTATATCAACTTTTTATTTACAGGCCACAAGCATTTACGATGGCAGTGGTATGCCGCCACCACAGTCACAATACCCACATGAAAGACGTAAGTATTTTTTTTAATATTAACAATTAATAAGCAGAAATGCTGTAAATAGCAGAAATTCATTAAACGTTTATAAAATAAGTTTAATTTACCAAAACAGTTTCATAAAAAAATAAATGCTGGAATAGGTTAAAATGTATATGTTTAAAGCAAATTCACTTGAAAATTTTGTGCAACTTGTTTCACCAGAACATTATTATTACCAAATTCTTTAAAAAAAATTAATTAAATTTTTTTTAGAAAAGTTCACTAAAAATTGTTCAGCCAAAATATTTCACTTTTTTACAAAAATTTGTAATGTTATTTCAAAACAAAAGTTACTGAAAATTGTTACACCCTCCACCACAAACTATTGATATGATAGGGTCACAATCATTTACATCACATCAAAATTCTACATACCTACTAACTATATATGTACATGATAAGGTTTGCTTAGAACCCACAAGATCCAAAATTGTTAAACAAATTAAAAAAAAAAAAAAAAAAAAAAATAACTGGTTTAAAGTAAATATTTCATATATTTTTTATGTTATAAACATTATTTTAAATCGAATGCAAATATATTGTTGTGCGTGATTATTTCAGAATTAAACAAATCTATATTAATTCTTATAAATATCAGCACCAGGGTTAAATATACAAAACGGTGCAATTAAAATCAGGAGTTCTGTTGAACTAGAACAGTTCTAGTTCAGTTCTAGTTCAGTTCTAGTTCAGTTCTTAGTTCAGTTCTAGTTCAGTTCTAGTTCAGTTCTAGTTCAGTTCTAGTTCAGTTCTAGTTCAGTTCTAGTTCAGTTCTAGTTCAGTTCTAGTTCAGTTCTAGTTCAGTTCTAGTTCAGTTCTAGTTCAGTTCTAGTTCAGTTCTAGTTCAGTTCTAGTTCAGTTCTAGTTCAGTTCTAGTTCAGTTCTAGTTCAGTTCTAGTTCAGTTCTAGTTCAGTTCTAGTTCAGTTCTAGTTCAGTTCTAGTTCAGTTCTAGTTCAGTTCTAGTTCAGTTCTAGTTCAGTTCTAGTTCAGTTCTAGTTCAGTTCTAGTTCAGTTCTAGTTCAGTTCTAGTTCAGTTCTAGTTCAGTTCTAGTTCAGTTCTAGTTCAGTTCTAGTTCAGTTCTAGTTCAGTTCTAGTTCAGTTCTAGTTCAGTTCTAGTTCAGTTCTAGTTCAGTTCTAGTTCAGTTCTAGTTCAGTTCTAGTTCAGTTCTAGTTCAGTTCTAGTTCAGTTCTAGTTCAGTTCTAGTTCAGTTCTAGTTCAGTTCTAGTTCAGTTCTAGTTCAGTTCTAGTTCAGTTCTAGTTCAGTTCTAGTTCAGTTCTAGTCAGTTCTAGTTCAGTTCTAGTTCAGTTCTAGTCAGTTCTAGTTCAGTTCTAGTTCATTTCTACTTCAGATCTAATTTAGTTCTAGTTCAGTTCTAGTTCATTTCTACTTCAGATCTAATTTAGTTCAAGTTTACTTTACGCTAGTTCAGTTTTAGTTCAGTTCTAGTTTTAGTAGGTATGATACATCAGATCCAAAGTAATATGTTATTGGCAATTCCCCTGATTCCAAATTTTTACTGAACCCTTTTCCAGTAAATTTATTTACATTCTAGGACAGCATTTATAACGATTATATGTTATTGCTATGATTTGCATTTTGTAAACACATACATTGAATAAAAATTTAGTGATATTACATACAGAGATAAATATGTACATTGTATATACACACTATTATAACAAAAAAACGTAATTATTTTGTGTGTATAGTTGAAAAATTGCTATGAAATATTCCAAAGCAAAAAAAAAATCCATAAACTTGCAACGCAATGTATAGATTTGCATACAAATAAACATGCAAACGATGTTATGAGGAGTGTTAGTAAGTATCTAGGTAAATGTACATAAAGATGACCCTTTAAAGTTTTAAAATGAGGAAAAATATATTTTCATTTGTGCTAGGCACACTCTGTGGGGACTTTTGGAATTTAGTTCTGAGTGGGGTTGGATGGGAATGTGTTATCTTTAAGTATACAAAAACTGTTTGGTCTTTTATAAAAACATTCATTTTGTTTTTGTAAAAAACTTGCAAATGACATGTCATTGATGTGTCACAGCAATAATTGTTTGTTGAAAATATCCTGGTTAATACCTCAGGGGTTTGCTTTGTAAGTTTTAAGAAATAAATTAATCGTTTTTTCTGTGAGTTTTTTATTGTGTTTGATAATTATTTGTTAGATAGTTTATTTGTACTAGCCAACACCTATTTAGGTTAGGAAGTTATTAAAGAATTTGTAGTAAAGGGAGTGAAAATTAAAGAAAATCGATAATAAGTTATCAAATGTGTTTAAATGGTCTTTTAGTTTTAATTGATGTATTCTTGAAGATTTTATTTTGTTATGTTAAAAGCTTTTCCTATTTCAAAATTGATTCAATATATTTTTCTGTTCTTTTTTTAGCATATCGTACCATCAAAGGCGAGAAAGGTGAACGTGGCCCTAAAGGTCCTCCTGGTGATAGTATACGTGGTCCTCCTGGACCACCAGGTCCTGCTGGTCCTAAAGGTGATCCAGGTTCATTTCCTCCCTTTATTGATTTTGCTAGCAATCCTGAGGCGGTAAGTAAAAATTTTGACTTACTTTTACATAAATTTAAGATTTTTATAAAATTTTTGTTAAAATAAATTGGTTTTGTATATATTCAATCAAGAAAAGAAATTCAAAATCAATTATAATTGATTATATTGATTTCATATTTTAAATTTCATTGCAAATGTCCTAATCAAATTAGTTCGGTTGCGTATACGTTATATTTTTAAGATATATGTTAATCATACTCACTTTTCATATAGACAAGAGTAAGAGAATTGATTTAGAAACAAGGCACAACTTGTTGCCAAACTGCAGATAGAAAAATATTAAATTTATAAATTTAAACTTTTGTTCTGTTGAACTTCAAACATTTTCAAAGGGTTCGGTTGCGTATACTCAATGTATATATATTAAATATTTATTAATCATACTTCCAGTCTGTACAACTTATTAGTTATAAAAGATAACATATTTGCCACATTTTTAAAATTATAATTAACTAATTCATTCCAAACATGAAATTTCGCTTAAAATTAAAATATTTCCTCTGTATTAACACATATTTCATCAATATTTTTTCTATGTAATTTACCTTTAAATCTATAAATAAATTTTAAAATTAAAATAAATCTCTGTATATTTACAACACAACAAAAACACTCAACTAATTATAGATCAATTAAAGTTTACTAAACAATTGTCGAACTAAAATTGAAATACAACATAATAAAATAGTTTTTGAAAATAAAATGATAAACATGAACGGATATTTGTAAAATCATAAATGAATTACAAACAGCTTAAACTAAATACTATAAATATATACACATACATGCATATACAAAACATTCCAATTCTGTTTAATTTACAAACTAACAAAAACAGATACATTAACAAAGGGATTTCGTACATACTTACTACATACAACAAAAATTTTAATTTCGAAAATTGATTTATTTTATAATTCACATATAAAACATAGCAAAAAAAGTTAATTTTCAATTATAAATGAAAATAACATTATAATAATAAAGAGAGCATATAACAAATGCACACCCATATTTAATGTATTTGTAAAACATTTTCAACAACAAATATTAAAAACCAACAAAAATACAGAGAAAAACTAAAATTATTTATACGTTAAATTAATGCAATCAATATATACAATTTAGTCTTTTCTCCTAACTCTTTACTCCTCTCACAAACAACTCTTCAGTTTCAACTAAAGTAAGAGTGTGTGTGTGTATTTATATTCATTTCCGCTTGGTGAAACTAAAATTCTATTAAATTTGTTTATTGTATTAGTGATGATGTTATTAAAATGCAACAAACACTAAAACATAAATACCAACAACAATCTATCTGTGTCTGTAAATACAAAATTTAGTTTTTAACTCGGGAAAAATAAAACTATAAATGGGAATTTAGCGAAAAACAAATATAATACAACCATATAATTTAAACATACTTTTGTTAAATATATAGTTATGTAGAGACATACATATTAATATATACACCCACTCACAATAACATATGTTCTCTAATACAGGTGTTTATGTATGTGTGTTTGTTTTCGTGGAATTCCAGCGGGTGCATTGTTAGTATTAGTTAGAGAAAAGTGTTGGTAATTTATAGAGCTTACATGATTTTTTATAGTTGTAGGAAAGTTGTTGTGCACTATGGGTAAATATAGAGAAAATTACATAGACTAGACATAGACTAGACATAGACTAGACATAGACTAGACATAGACTAGACATAGACTAGACATAGACTAGACATAGACTAGACATAGACTAGACATAGACTAGACTAGACTAGACATAGACTAGACATAGACTAGACATAGACTAGACATAGACTAGACATAGACTAGACATAGACTAGACATAGACTAGACTAGACATAGACTAGACATAGACTAGACATAGACTAGACATAGACTAGACATAGACTAGACATAGACTAGACATAGACTAGACATAGACTAGACATAGACTAGACATAGACTAGACATAGACTAGACATAGACTAGACATAGACTAGACATAGACTAGACATAGACTAGACATAGACTAGACATAGACTAGACATAGACTAGACATAGACTAGACATAGACTAGACATAGACTAGACATAGACTAGACATAGACTAGACATAGACTAGACATAGACTAGACATAGACTAGACATAGACTAGACATAGACTAGACATAGACTAGACATAGACTAGACATAGACTAGACATAGTAGACATAGACTAGACATAGACTAGACATAGACTAGACATAGACTAGACATAGACTAGACATAGACTAGACATAGACTAGACATAGACTAGACATAGACTAGACATAGAGACATAGACTAGACATAGACTAGACATAGACTAGACATAGACTAGACATAGACTAGACATAGACTAGACATAGACTAGACATAGACTAGACATAGACTAGACATAGACTAGACATAGACTAGACATAGACTAGACATAGACTAGACATAGACTAGACATAGACTAGACATAGACTAGACATAGACTAGACATAGACTAGACATAGACTAGACATAGACTAGACATAGACTAGACATAGACTAGACATAGACTAGACATAGACTAGACATAGACTAGACATAGACTAGACATAGACTAGACATAGACTAGACATAGACTAGACATAGACTAGACATAGACTAGACATAGACTAGACATAGACTAGACATAGACTAGACATAGACTAGACATAGACTAGACATAGACTAGACATAGACTAGACATAGACTAGACATAGACTAGACATAGACTAGACATAGACTAGACATAGACTAGACATAGACTAGACATAGACTAGACATAGACTAGACATAGACTAGACATAGACTAGACATAGACTAGACATAGACTAGACTAGAATAGACTAGACATAGACTAGACATAGACTAGACATAGACTAACATAGACTAGACATAGACTAGACATAGACTAGAAATAGACATAGGACATAGACTAGACATAGACTAGACATAGACTAGACATAGACTAGAACATAGACTAGACATAGACTAGACATAGACTAGACATAGACTAGACATCGACTAGACATAGACTAGACATAGACTAGACATCGACTAGACATAGACTAGACATAGACTAGACATAGACTAGACATAGACTAGACATAGACTAGACATAGACTAGACATAGACTAGACATAGACTAGAACATAGACTAAGACATAGACTAGACATAGACTAGACATAGAGACTAGACCATAGACTAGACATAGACTAGACATAGACTATCCTAGACTAGACATAGACTAGACATAGACTAGACATAGACTAGACATAGACTAGACATAGACTAGACATAGACTAGACATAGGACTGGACATAGACTAGACATAGACTAGACATAGACTAGACATAGACTAGACATAGACTAGACATAGACTAGACATAGACTAGACATAGACTAGACATAGACTAGACATAGACTAGACATAGACTGACATAGACTAGACATAGACTAGACATAGACTAGACATAGACTAGACATAGACTAGACATAGACTAGACATAGACTAGACATAGACTAGACATAGACTAGACATAGACTAGACAATAGACTAGACATAAGCCTCTGTATACTTTGTGGTATTAGTGCCATGGCATAAATAAATACAATTTCCAAACCATAGTGCACTACCAGCGGATCGCATTAAATGTATGTATGTGGGTTTGTGTCAGTATATACATACATATGGTACTTATGTATGTTTTGGGTAAACACATGTATTGTTGACGCGTTTAGACAGACATATGGCCGGAAGCAAATACCTGATTTCCCCAGATAACAATGTGTAAGAACTAACGGATTTTCACTAACGTTATTTATACTTACATACCAACATTTATATGTATCAGAATTAATGTTTTAGTAGTTTTTATATATTATTTTCATGTCGCCAACTATGATGCTAAAGTAACTACCAATAGCAGTAGTAACAGCTACAGCAAATAGCGACAACAACCGTTACAACACATCAGTTTTAAATTATTGTTTGTTATTTATTGTTTAGTTTGTATTTGTGCAAGTGGTTGTATGCTTGTGTGTATGTTGTATATGGGAATATGTGCAACCTACAGAGTTAAAATGGTTGAAGTCTATAGTTTGAAGAGCTAATGTTTACTTTAACAAACAAACTAGAAATAGTAGTACCATAAACTGTAGTTTTAGTGTTTGTTGTTGCTGCTGTTATACTAGTTGTTGCTGCTGCTGCTGCTACTACTGTTGTTTATACTCCTGTTGTGTTTCAGTATAAATACGTACAAATGATGCTTAACATAACAAGGTGCACATACACATAAACATACGACCATTTATAGTAGATGAATTGTTAAATTCACATACAATTTATGTATATGTTAGAATGTACATATGTTTATGTATTTGTGTATTTGTTCGTACAAATACATTTAAACACATGTTTATGTGCTGTTGTGTGTTTATATTCACTATAATATGTTAGGATTATAGAGCAATTTATTCAAGTGGGCTTAAGGACACACACACTTAAGTACATACATATATCTATATGTATACTGAATATATATACATAGGTGTAGTACTTTAGAGGTAGGTTAGTTAGTTTGTGGTAGTACGTAGGTACTGCAACTAACTACCAACACATGTGGAGTGTAAATCATTTATATGTATATGTTTGTGTGCTTGTTTATATGTGTATGCATTTGTAATCGTGTTTAGGTCAGCATTTATTCATTTATTTATTTTTATGTTTTGTTATTTTACGTATGGAGATTTTCATATTTTTTGAATAATTAGGGATTCCCGATAACCCGAATCGTTAGAGGTGGTAAATAAAGCTGGTCCAAACAGTTAAATCGACATTAATGTCATATATCAACGGCCTTATGGAGATAGTGCGTTTTTGTTGGAACAAAAAGTATTCCAAATATTACAAACTGCTGAAATATGCACTCAACATCATAGGGAACTTGTACTCAATGCAACAGATCCATTTGAAAATGATTGAAATGATAATGATCAGTTTGAAATGGAATCGTATTGTTGCCAGAAAATCGCGTTTTCACTAAAAAATTGGGTTTTCATGTGGTATTTTCTCCAGAATCTAAAATTCTCTAGAAAATTTTCACTTGAAAACTCCATATCCATCTAATGGAATCATCCATATTCTACTATTTTTTAAAAACAACCTGATTTCTTTAGTTAGTTTGTTGTATTTGAAACATACATACATACTTTTTTCAATACAATATTGTACGTTTTTTTCTGCACATTTCTAAAACATTTCATTAACACGTTTACATTACTAACAACACACATCGTAACGCTGACACCCAATTTATAGAGGATTTATAAAAGCAAATTACCACAGCTTTAGCTAGATTTACTAAGGGAACTAGGTGCGAGGCGTGTATTTACAACTTAAAACCAAAATCCTGAAAACATAAATTTTTATTAAAGCAGCTATTTATTAGTGTATGTAGTAACAACAACAACGACATGACAATGTATTTATTTATAATTATTAATGAATTGATGTTTAGAAAACGATTTTAGACTACAGCGATAATTACAATAGATGGCAGGCAGGCAGGCTAACTAAACCAACAAGCAGAGTTACTTCATGCAGTTTTTACAACAGGCATGACATGAATAAATAAAATATTTATTTAAAAAAAGGCACAATTTATATTTTAAAATTATGTTTAAATTTAAAACATCAATTACAACACGTAGTTGTTTAGTAACAATTAAATTTAAATTTATTTTTAGCAGCAGGCTTTAGAAAATATTGCCTTTCTGCTTATTGTTTAAGTAATTTTCCCCAAAATTAATTATAAAATTTTAGGAAAATGTTTTATCAAAAAAATTTTAAATGATTTTTCAATAATTTATTTTTAATTATTTATTTGGAAATTAAACAAAACATCTACGAACCTCAGCTTAATTACATTTTCCATTAGTAGTGGTAATGTGATTGCTATTAGTGCTAAAATTAGCACTTCCGTTTCCATGAAATGTAAATGTTATACATTTTTGTCTCTTCTATGTTTTCCAAAAGTGTCATTTTGCTTTTTTTTTTTTGTTGTTGCTGTTTTATTTTGTTTAAATTTAACAAAATAAGAGAAAAAATGTGTCATGTCTAAAATTGTTTTGTAAAAGTTTTTGAAAAATAAATAGACTAATAGACTGAAAGAGATGTAGTGTGTGGCTTTACTAATTGAAGTTAAAAAACATAAAGTGGTTTACGATGTTTTTAATTTTTTGTTTTGTTTTGTGAATAAAAAACAAACTTCAAAATGTCATTCTTGTTTGATGTCAATGTGTTTTTTTTAATACTTCTGTGTTTCATTTAGTTTTTGATATATGGAAATAATTATCTGACAAATGTTTAAATAACATTTCGAAATTATACCATGGCTGAAGTAATCTGTTCAAATTTTGTTTATAAATATGCCTCAAAATTTTTTTAATAAATTGTTTGGTTTTACATGTTTAGTTTTTTCCTAAAATTTGGAAGGGGGGGAAGGGGGGGGGAAAGGGGAAAGGGGAAAGGGCGAGAGAGAGAAGGAAGGGGGAAAACAGAAAAAAGAGGGCAGCAGAAGAGAGAAGGGCGCCAGAGAGAGAGAAGCCCGAACGAACGAACGAACGAACGAACGAACGAAAACGAACGAACGAAACGAAACGAACGAAGAACGAACGAACGAACGAACGAACGAACGAACGAACGAACGAACGAACGAACGAACGAACGAACGAACGAAACGAAACGAACGAACGAACGAACGAAACGAACGAACGAACGAAGAACGAACGAACGAACGACAACGAACGAACGAACGAACGAACGAACGAACGAACGAACGAACGAACGAACGAACGAAAGAACGAACGAACGAACGAACGAACAACGAACGAACGAACGACCTAACAACGAACGAACGAACGAACTACCTACTAACGAACGAACGAACGAACGAACGAAACGAAACTAACGAACTAACTAACAAAACGAACTAACGAACTAACTAACTAACTAACTAACGAACTAACTAACGAACTAACTAACTAACTAACTAACTACCTACTAACGAACTAACTAACTAACTAACTAACTAACTAACTAACTAACTACTAACTAACTAACTAATTAACTAACTAACTAACCACTATAATATTCAAGATAAATGCCTGATTATGAAAAACAAAACACATTTATTATTCGTAACTGGTGTAGGGTACCATGAGGTATGCCACGCCCGTCTGTATTCTCATACTTGTTTTGTGATAAATTTTAAAGTACAAATTCTCGACCAAAAAAGTACCAAAATATGCATTTCTTATTAATTATCATTTCATCAGAATTTCATCAGAACTGTACATCTTTATAATATTGAAAAGTACAATTTGAAGAACAAAAATTTACCTAAATAGAACTCTTACTCAATGATGGCCATTTGGTTTCATTTTGGTGTCATATTAAAGAAAAATCAAAAAGTACCATTTGAACGAAAAAGTACCAACAAGTTCTCTTAGAGATTCTTATTTGACCCTTTAGGTTTCTAGAAAAATCAAAAATATTTTTTACCATGTTCAAGAATATCCATTACGTACCATCTGAATAACGAAAAAGTACCATATAATTTCATCTTTATGATTCTTATTTAATCAAAACCATGTACATTAAACATTCATATATTTTGTTGAAATTCGAAAAATTTTGATTACAAGGATTAAATTATTATAGTCTGTTGAAAGTACTATGAAAAAAGTACCACTTTCCCTTTTACACATAGGAACAGACTTATTCGAGGATTTGATTTTTAAAGTAAAATTAATTTTTAAATTTTTATAACAATGATAAAAGTTAAACGATACCAATCTGTTAAAAAAAAATATATTTTGAAAAAGTACCAAACTTTCTAGGCCTTAGCAACAGAATTACAAATGACACTGTAGCTAAATGAATTATTTTTAAAATTTGTGTCAAAACATTTTCCTTAAATGTCAAAATTTCTTTACCCAATAATATAAATTATATTGTTATGATTACTACTTTAAAAAATAGATAAGGTACTAAAAAGGTACCCAAATACCGTATTAACCCTTTTATTAAATTAACTTTTATTACAATTTTTGTTCTTCTTTTCATTTACAGAAATACACTGGCAAATGTACATGCAATGCGTCTGATATCCTAGAAGCCATCAAAGACAACGATATTTTAAGAGAAACATTAAGAGGTCCACCAGGACTGCCGGGTAAAGAAGGCAAAACTGGAGCTCCGGGACGTACGGTAAGTTAGACTGAAAAATAAAAAGAATAATAAAAATTTTAATAAAAAATATATACGAAAATTTTGAACAAAATATACTCTTTATTGAATTTTTGTTTAAGTTAAAAAAATAAACATTTATCGTGCATTTTGTATTTTTTTTTACATGAAACTTACAAAAACCAAATATTAAAACAATCAAATATCCCCTTATCCCGATTTGTATTGTTACAGACGAATATAACGATTGAGGTAAACATTTTAATTTGATTTTGATTGGCATATTCTGTTAACATATTTAACAAATTTAACAAGTTTTAACAAAAAAATAAAATAACTAAATTCAGCCTCAAACTAATTTTTTCACTAACAAATTTCAACTAATTGTACAAATATTTCAAATAATAACAAATTTGTTAACCCTAGCACTCAATGGATGTAATTGAAATTTATTAAAGCCAATTTTAACTTTACACTTTAATACTAATTCAGTAATTTTCTAATAAAAATTGTAACTAAAAACTTTTATTTATGGAATGAAAACAATTATGTATATATATGGTGGAAGTTAAGAAATACAATTTATTGATGAAGACCTCTAAACTTTTGAAGGGTTTTTCTTTTCTCCCTCCCCAATAATTTTAAGAACAAAACTAGAACTGAACTAGAACTGAACTTGAACTGAACTAGAACTGAACTAGAACTGAACTAGAACTGAACTAGAACTGAACTGAACTGAACTGAACTAGAACTGAACTAGAACTGAACTAAAACTGAACTAGAACTGAACTAGAACTGAACTAGAACTGAACTAGAACTGAACTAGAACTGAACTAGAACTGAACTAGAACTGAACTAGAACTGAACTAGAACTGAACTAGAACTGAACTAGAACTGAACTTGAACTGAACTAGAACTGAACTAGAACTGAACTAGAACTGAACTAGAACTGAACTAGAACTGAACTAGAACTGAACTAGAACTGAACTAGAACTGAACTAGAACTGAACTAGAACTGAACTAGAACTGAACTAGAACTGAACTAGAACTGATCTAGAACTGAACTAGAACTGAACTAGAACTGAACTAGAACTGAACTAGAACTGAACTAGAACTGAACTAGAACTGAACTAGAACTGAACTAGAACTGAACTAGAACTAAACTAGAACTGAACTAGAACTGAACTAGAACTGCACTAGAACTGAACTAGAACTGAACTAGAACTGAACTAGAACTGAACTAGAACTAGAACTGAACTAGAACTGAACTAGAAACTGAACTAGAACTGAACTAGAACTGAACTAGAACTGAACTAGAACTGAACTAGAACTGAACTAGAACTGAACTAGAACTGAACTAGAACTGAACTAGAACTGAACTAGAACTGAACTAGATCTGAACTAGAACTGAACTAGAACTGAACTAGAACTGAACTAGAACTGAACTAGAACTGAACTAGAACTGAACTAGAACTGAACTAGAACTGAACTAGAACTGAACTAGAACTGAACTAGAACTGAACTAGAACTAGAACTGACTAGAACTGAACTAGAACTGAACTAGAACTGAACTAGAACTGAACTAGAACTGAACTAGAACTGAACTAGAACTGAACTAGAACTGAACTAGAACTGAACTAGAACTGAACTAGAACTGAACTAGAACTGAACTAGAACTGAACTAGAACTGAACTAGAACTGAACTAGAACTGAACTAGAACTGAACTAGAACTGAACTAGAACTGAAACTAGAACTGACTAGAACTGAAACTAGAACTGAACTAGAACTGAACTAGAACTGGACTAGAACTGAACTAGAACTGAACTAGAAAACTGAACTAGAACTGAACTAGAAACTGAACTAGAACTGAACTAGAACTGAACTAGAACTGAACTAGAACGGAACTAGAACTGAACTAGAACTGAACTAGAACTGAACTAGAACTGAACTAGAACTGAACTAGAACTGAACTAGAACTGAACTAGAACTGAACTAGAACTGAACTAGAACTGCACTAGAACGAACTAGAAGAACTGAACTAGAACTGAACTAGACTGAACTAGAACTGACAAAACTGAACTAGCAACTGAACTAGAACTGAACTGAACTAGAACTGAACTAGAACTGAACTAGAACTGAACTAGAACTGAACTAGAACTGAACTAGAAACTGAACTAGAACTGAACTAGAACTGAACTAGAACTGAACTAGAACTAGAACTGAACTAGATAAGAACTGAACTAGAACTAGAACTGAACTAGAACTGAACTAGAACTGAACTAGAACTGACTAGAACTGAACTAGAACTGAACTAGAACTGAACTAGAACTGAACTAGAACTGAACTAGAACTGAACTAGAACTGAACTAGAACTGAACTAGAACTGAACTAGAACTGAACTAGAACTGAACTAGAACTGAACTAGAACTGAACTAGAACTGAACTAGAACTGACTAGAACTGAACTAGAAAACTGAACTAGAACTGAACTAGAACTGAACTAGAACTGAACTAGAACTGAACTAGAACTGACTAGAACTGACTAGAACTGAACTAGAACTGAACTAGAACTGAACTAGAACTGAACTAGAACTGAACTAGAACTGAACTAGAACTGAACTAGAACTGAACTAGAACTGAACTAGAACTGAACTAGAACTGAACTAGAACTGAACTAGAACTGAACTAGAACTGAACTAGAACTGAACTAGAACTGAACTAGAACTGAACTAGAACTGAACTAGAACTGAACTAGAACTGAACTAGAACTGAACTAGAACTGAACTAGAATGAACTAGAATGAACTAGAACTGAACTAGAACTGAACTAGAACTGAACTAGAACTGAACTAGAACTGAACTAGAACTGAACTAGAACTGAACTAGAACTGAAATAGAACTGAAATAGAACTGAACTAGAACTGAACTAGGACTAAACTAGCACTAAACTAGAACTGAACTGGAACTAAACTAACATTTTGTGGTTCCTTCCCCTGCCCAATACTTTCTTAGAAGGTTTATGCAAATGCATTTTTAATATAAAACAATACTGGTATGCAAACAGAAAACAAAGTAAACCACAAATGGAAAAAAGTACAAAAATAAAACCATAAAATGAAAACAGAAAAAAATCCTCAAACAGTAAAGCTTAAAAAACGGAAACCGATCAAGAACTCTCCAATCAACATGGTTAAAGACAATTTATGATTTTAACAAAGTTAATCTATTTACAAAAGTAAAAAATTTTCAAAAACAAATTATACACTTTTACAACAAGCTTTCACTGTCCGATATATAAAGGCATCCTGTACATTTATATGACAAGCATTAATGATAAAAATCTAAACAACAAGGAAATATGACTAAAACACAGATACATTTGATGACATTTTCTCTACAGTTTTCTATCTTTTCATTTCAAATGTTTTTTTGTGGATGAAATATTTTTACTTCCATTTCATTTTGAACTTCATCATCAAACATCAACAAAATGCAACAAATGTACAATTTGTTGTAAAAATTATTTACTATAGAGAATAGATGAAAAATTGTGGCATATGTGTGGAAAGAAAAGAAATCTTAAAGTTAATGGGTCAATCTCGAAACAGTGGTGGAGATGAGTGTAGATATATTTATTTATGTTATTTAGAGTGACTGGGCAGTTATAGTGAAAGCCTTTGGCAGGAATTGAACCTGCGTACCCTTGACTAGTAGACTAAAGATGTGTTTCATAACTATTTGCAAGGAATATTTCATGACCTAAAGTATTTAAAAATTTTTAAAATATATTTAAATATTTAATTGTAAACTAAACTCTGTTTATTATGTAGGGTGCTTTGCAAATTTCTATCAGCTCTTTACATTTTCTTATCTAAGTATGTATTTTTTCAACTTGTTTTTAAATAACATATATTTTTCTCACAGTTGTTATTCTCTTGTAAATTCCTTCAACTGTGTTTTATTTAGATTTTGTATTTTTCTGCATTTATGTTTATTTATATTTGTCCAATTCTCTTGTTGTATATTTTGTCAAGTTGAAAATGTAACACAAATAATACAGACACTGGAAAATATTTATGCATAATATATACATTCCCTTTAGTTTTCAGGGAGTCAGAGTATCCATTTTAATCAATTTTATTTCAAATGTCTAACTTCTTTGACTAGAATTTATAAAGTTGTGTGCCATTCGACTGGCATGTAAAGAGTGATCATTCTTCTCGCAATGCAGGGCAATTTTTATAAAAAAGTTATTTTCATCAAAATATGTATTTATTTGTATATGTATGTAGTAGGAAATGGTTACAAGCAAAGTATAATAACAGTAATGCGTAAGTTTACTGTGTTTTTATATAACTATAAATATTTTTGCATACTTACTTGGGCATGTATACGGAAGTAAATTCTTTTAATGTAAATGTCTCCTATTACTTAAGAGAGATGTTGCTAACGCAACAACACAACTTTTGGAAAATTGCAGTAAAAGGAAATATTTATACCATTCACTGCTCTAAGGAACCTAGCCTTACTTGGAAAATATTTTTGTTTTCAAAAAATGTATATGGTATTCAACGGTTTTATTATGGCAGTTACTGAGAGACAATCAGCAATAGGTTGACCTATTTTTAGCAATAGTTTTTTATGATTTGCTAAAAATTCAGATTTTTACTAAAAATTCAGATTTTTACTAAAAATTCATGTTTTTACTAAAAATTCAGATTTTACAAAAAAATTCAGATTTTTACTAAAAACTCAGATTTTTACTAAAAATTCAGATTGTTACTAAAAATTCTGATTGTTACTAAAAATTCGGATTGTTACTAAAAATTCAGATTTGTACTAAGAATTCAAATTTTTACTAAAAATTCATGATTTCACTAAAAATTTAAATTTTTTCTAAAAAATTCGGATTTTTGCAAAAAATTCAGATTTTTACTAAAAACTCATATTTTTACTAAAAATTCAGATTTATACTAAAAATTCAGATTTTTACCAAAAATTCAGATTTTTACTAAAAATTCAGATTTTTACTAAAAATTCAGATTTTTACTAAAAATTAAAATTTTTACAAAAAATTCAGATTTTCACCAAAAATTCGGACTAAAAATTCAGATAATTACTATAATTCATATTTTTACTAAAAATTCAGTTTTGTACAAAAAAATTAAGATTTGTACTAAAAATTCAGATTTTTACTAAAAAAGCCGATTTTTACTAACAATTCGAATTTTTACTAAAAATTCGGATTTTAAA